CAAGGACATTCTTCACAGAAATAGAAACAATAATTTAAAATTCCTATGGAAACACATAAGATCCAGAATAACTAAAGCAATCCAAAGCAAAAAGAATGCGACTAGAGGCATCACAATCAATACTCAACTTCATATTATACTCAAAGTTACAATATCAAAAGCAGCATGTTACTGTCACACAAATGGACACATAGACTAATGGAATAGAATAGAGGTCACAGGAACAAGCCTAAGCAGGTACAGCCTTCAGCTTCCTCACAAAGGGTCCAAAAACATTCGAAAAAAGACACCTCTAACAAATAATGCTAGGAAAACTGTTTATCCACATATATGGAAGATTGAAATGAAGTTCCTATCTTTTACCCTATGCTAAAATCAATTCAGAATGGGTCAGAGTCCTAAGTATAGGACCTGAAACTTTGAAACTGCTAGTAGAAAATGTAGGGGAGACACTTGAAGTCATAGACACAGTCAGAGACTTCTTGAATAGGGCTCCATCAACACAAGAAAGAATAGTAAAAACCAACAGTTAGGACTCATCAAATAATGAAGCTTCTTCAGAGCAAGGGAAATAATCAACAGTTTAGAGAGGATGTAGAGTGAGAAAAACTCTTTGCCTGTTGCTCTTTTGACAAAGGATTATTATCTAGAATATATACAGTACTAAAAGATACCAAAAAATGAATAGGCCACCCATTGGGACATTAGTTGAACAGGTACTTCTCAGAAGACTTATTAATAGTTAACAAGTATATGGAAAAAATGGTCAACATCTTTATTGGAAAAATTGAAGTTAAAACTACATTGAGATTCCATCTTATATAATCAGAATGGCTGTCATCAAGAATACAAAAAATAATCAGTGCTGGCAAGAATGATGGGTAAAGGAACCCTTGCATATGGGGATGTAAATTATTACAGCCACTATGGAAATCAGTATGGAGGTTCCTTAAACAACTGAAAATAAAGCTACCATATGACCCAGCTATACTACCCTTTGCTATCTACTCCAAGGAATTAAAAGTCATCCTACTATAGGGATACCTGCATACCCATGTTTATTGCAGCATAGTTCACAATAACCAAGATATGAAACCAGCCCAGGTACCAATCAATGGATGATAAAATAAAGTACGTGTATGCACAATAGAGTCTTGTTCAACCATAAAAAAGAATCAAATTACGCTGTTTGCAGGAAAATGAATAGAAATGGAGATCATCATGTTAAGTGAAATGAACTAGGCTTCAATCAATATACATAAAATATATTTTAAAATATTGTGTAAAACTTTAGGATATGTTTTAAGTAGCTTATTAAAGTAATATAAAAAGTGTAGAAATCTCACTTCCACAAGTGGAAGCTTGTCTTAGGCTGATTTTTAAGCCATTTATAATGGTTGAAACTAAAATTATTGTAATGCCATTCTAGTGTTGCTGCAAATGTTTTCCATTTCATATTATTTCACTTTGTTAAAATTTTGCTCTATATCTGTATATGTTTTACTGTCTTATGGAAAATGACTGTTTCGGGGCTCAGAAATATTATTTGTTCCTTGGTTGTTCATACCATTTCAGTTGATACATCAGTAATCCACAAATCAAAATCTGGTAAGGGCTGTTCTCTTAGCAGTTCTGCTTATTCCATTTCAGTAAGAATAGTTTGATTGTGGGCAATCAAGCTACTGTGGCATGTTCTGCAGTATTTTAAATCCAATTAGAGATATGAGATTTTGGTACTTTATAGTGAAGACTCTGGCATTATTATTTTTTCTCATGAATATTTAGCCAAGTACCACTTAAGGTATATGTACAGTTTTAGTTCATAGAGGGTAGTATTGGAATTATATGTTAACAAGGGAACTTTTATAAAATGTTAGTCAAAATATTATTTGTGAAAATCTAGGGGGAAAAGTTCCATGTGAAATCATCAGTATAATGTACATTGAGTGAATAAACGAGTGTAATATTTTTGCTTTACCTAAACAAACAATTTTATTTAGCTATTAACCTTTGAAAATCAAATTAAAAACTAGATTTTATAAAATATATCCTTTGCTGTTATTCACTAATACCATATTTTTATAACTCAGGGATCTATTTTAAATTTTTTCTACACAAAATACAGAGATTCATCTGCCTTCTCTTTGTTAGGGATAGATAATTTTATAATGATAGGCAGAAAAGAAACTGTAAAGTATGCTTGCTAGCGTATTGTTGCTACCCCTGTAATAAAACTTGCTGATGGCCAGAGAGGGATAAAATGTCTTTTCTAAAGTGTCATAGCATGAAGCCGGGCGTGGTGGTGCATGCCTGTAATCCCAGCACTCGGGAGGCTGAGGCAGGAGAATCATTGTGAGTTTGAGACCAGCCTGAGCTACAAAGTGAGTTCCAGGTCAGTCTCAACTACATAGTGAGACCCTGTTTCAAAAAACTAAAGTGTCATAGCATGACATCTCCAGAAGTGCAGTAATTCTTTTTATGGAGTCAGGCCCATACACACACACTGCAAGATTCTAGCACTTGTAGAGTGGTAGTTTTCTGTTTAGTGTAGGTTACTAAAGACGTTATTTCCCCAAGTTGTGAATATATAAAAGGTGGCTTAGAAATATGGTGAATATTTCAATTTTAAAAATTTTGTTAAAAGACTCCTTTTCATTAATCCCCCTCAAAATATTCCCTGTTACTTTGAATGCATCCCATTGTTCTTGCCACTTCCTTAAGCAAGTCTGGCAGTCCTCATTTGTGAATGTATTTATGAAATGTGTGAAAAATACAGGAATGCCATCCATTGGTGTTTGTGAAAACATACAGTATGTTCTCATCCACCTTATTCATTGGATCAAGCGCTGTGTGACTTGTGACTCTTCCCAAAGTTAAAAATGAACATGAAAGGTAAATGTTTCAAATTTTCAGGACATCAAGGGAGCCACAATAGCCCAAATAAAGACACTCATTAAAGAGAACTTTTAGAACTGCTTCAGAAAGTGGCAAGAATGATGGGATAAGATAAATGTATTCAAATGGGGGGGTTGGAGAGGGATTAATGGCAATGTGTCCTTTATTTTATTTTATTGGTACTGGGGATCGAACTCTGGTCCTTGTGCTTGTGAGTCAGGCAGTGGTAGCTCTGAGCTAAATCCCTGGCCCTCCAATGTGTCTTTTACTGTAATAACTTTTTTTTTTAGTTGAAACACACCATATTTTTCATGTATTTATTATATATTGGCTGAACTAGGTTTTAGGGGGAGAAAGAAATGAAAGGGACGTTCTGTCTTCTAGAAATTTGTATTTTACCACACGTGTAAATACCAAATAGTTTTTCTGGTGTGAAAAACTATAATGGTACATAAGATCCTAATGATATAATTGACCATGTGAAATAGGAATAAAAGGGCTAAAGGTGTAGGGAAAGTGGGAAGGGTAGGGGGAAAGGTAATAAGGGGAAAAAATTATGAGAAAATGAAAAAATGGAAATAAAGTATTTGTAAATAGGGAAGAGAGGAGGGGGTGAAGGGATGGCAAGGACAAGGGAAAAAAATGAGAACCGAGACTTGTCATGTAAAGGTACAAGATCCCAGTGATGAATATAACTGTACTGTATACCTAAAATGTACCAATAATTTCAATGAGAGAAAAAAATTAAAAAGAAATTTATATTTTACTTAGAAAATAAGACATAAATGAAAAGGTAAAAGTTATATTTAAGTGATTTAGGCTGTTATAGTGGGTATTATTCATTTAGGATAGAATTATTAAATTTTTATATAGAAAAGTAATTAAAGATTTTCCCAAATCCTAGCTGGCTTGTGAAAACCTTATTCACCAAAATTAAATTGTAAGCCTGTTGTAAAGGATTATGTTGTTTTACTCACTTATGTCATTTAATTCCCTCAACAACCCAGTAAAATTGGCATCATTGTTATTCTGTAATAAAAGCTTAAATCACTTCGTAATTGAGTGGCCTGTCTGGTTTTAACTTTGCTTATCTTCTTATATAGTTTGTTTTACTGTTCCCCTACATTGCTGTGTAGTTAGTATTCATTAGTTTACTCTGAAAAAATTGCCTTATAAGAATGGGAGCTTATTCTTTCATTTCAACCAGGTCAGAAATTCTTTTGATTATAGAATTTCTCTTGGAGACTTAATACGTAAAGGTTATCATTTTTTTAAAGGTTGTTACCAGGTTTTTATAAGTCATGTACTTTAGACCTGTTTTCTTAAAATGAAACTGCAGAAAATACTTGAAGAGCCCAAAGTAGTAAAATGACTGCTTGGTTAGTTGCAAGGTAGTTTTTTCACCCTAACAGTTAGTATTAACTTTCAACGATTCTCTTTATTTTTTAAGCCTTATAATAATGATAAAAGATATTCTTTTGCTTTTTTAAAAAGCTGTATGTAGTACCTAAATGATCACTATATGTGTATGCTGAATTGTAGCTGTTATTTTAAAAAATTGAGGGCATAAAAAGGCAAAGGGGATATATAAAGATGGTTATATTTTAAAAGTGTTCATTGTCTTGTCAGAGAATTTAAGTCGACTGAGAAATGACATCATTCCTGTCTATTTTCTGAGTTTTTGAATTACTTTTTTTTTTTTTTTTTTTTTTATTGGTACCGGGATTCAACTTAGGACCTTGTGCTTGCAAGGTGCAGGCACAGTGCCACTGAGCGAAATCCCCAGCTTACTTTTTTAAAGAAATAAATTCTGTTTTAAAAAATAATTGGTTTAGGGCTGGGGATTTAGCTCAGCGGTTCGGTGGCCTGCTTCGCAAGCGCAAAGACATGAGTTGGATCCCCGGTACAAAAAAAAAAAAAATTGGTTTGGGCTGGAAAATCAGATGTGGTCTTTTTTGATCAGAGGTATAAATTATAATAGTTACTGCTCTAAATAGATGCTTTCAAAATAAGATATCCTTTATCAATTGTCTTTTAAATCAGTAGTTTTGTTTTTACCTTCATATACACATCCAAACTGACTTGTCATTACTTTGACTTTACAGGAACCATCTAGAACAGTTTCAGGCAGATACAAAAGGTAAGAATGTTGTGGACACCACCCTCCCTTCCCCAACCCTTGCTGGTGATTGAGTCCAGTGCCTTAGGGCTCTTTTCCTGGCTTAAAGGTGGCCATCTATTGCAATGTCCTTATGTGGCAGGGTTGGCAGCAAGTACTCTGATGTTGCTTCTTAGTGGGTACTCATACCATCACAAGGAAGGACTTCACCCTCATGACCTTATCTAAACCTAATTATCTCCCAGATATTCCGTCTCCAAATACATTGGCGATTAGGGCTTCAGTATCACCTACACAATGAATAATCAATCCTTCTGTAAGAGTATGTTTGTTTATATACATGTACTGGAATTAAATATGAGAAATTGTTCAGTGGAATTACCAGAGAGATTAACTTTCTTCCCTTTTAAGGCCATAGAGGTTGCAGAAGTGTATGCTAATACTTTTTTGATAATAATTACAGATCAGTGAGTTCTTCTGTTCAGAGTGCTTTACATGAAAATCTTATTTCACAGTTGTTTTATTAAGCAGATACAATATTTATTTTGAAAACTATTTCACTGGAGTTATAAACATAGAAGAGTCTGGATTTTAACTTAGGCACTCTGACTTCAGAACCTACATGTTAATAACTAAATACACCAGACCACTGTATAGATTTATGCATATAAAACCATGTTTTTACCTATTATACGTTTAAAGTTTAAAATATTTTATTATATTCCATCTAAAACATTCATTAGCAGTTATGTATGAGCAATATTTAATACTTATTTTTTACTATGGCCAAAGTATCTTTTATCAGTAGAAAGAAATAAGAAGGCCAAGATTTATCAGCAGTTGAGTGAGTTAAGTCTAAAACCATTTCTGGCACATAGAAGAACACTCAATACGGGTGTTTTTATTTTCTCTTCTGGGTGGTTTTGATATAGTTATAATGAAATTTCTTTTAATCTTCTAATATTTTTCTTTACTATGAATAGTTGAAAGTAAAAGAATATTTTTGCCAGAAATCATGTTAGAAAAACTTTGATTTGACTTGTTTCTAGACCATAGTCTCAAGCCAAAATCTTTTTATCATCAGTTTTTGGTTTGGGGAATGATAAACTTTGATAACTTAAAAAATTTGTTGTACCAATAGTATGAGTAGAGTTTCAAATTATGAATGACAGTTTGTGTTTTACTAAAACCAGTAAATAAAATAAATCTTCATTAAAGGTTCTAGTGACACATCATTGTCTTAATCAGAAAGAAAATTGTTTCCCATGTTATACATTTTAAGCGCTTGAGGTCATTATTTATGACATGTACTTTGATTTTTATAGCCTAGAATATGTAGTTTGCTACCTTCTAAGTTTTAAAGATTTAGTCCTGTTTGTTACTGTTAAAAATATTTGTAATTTCATACTAATTTTTCAGAGTTGCAACAAGTCCATTTTGATACAGCCTAAAAAAGCATAAATAACCAAATACACAAAACTTAGAAACAATATCTGAAATTATCTGTTCTTTATTTGATAGAAATATATATGTGTATATATATTTTTCCCATTAAGTTTATTGGTACATTTAAAGCAAACAATACAGTAACATTTATCACTGGGGTCTTTTACCTTTACATGATATGTCTTGGTTCTTCCTTTTTCCCCATACCCCTGCCCTCCCTTCACTCCCTTCACCCTTCCCTATTTACAGAGACCTTGTTTCCATTTTTTCCTTCTGTCACATTTTTCCCTTATTTCCTTTCCTTTCCCCTTCCCACTTCCCCTTTAGCCATTTTCTTCGTATTTCACACTATCAGTTATACCATTTGAACCTTATTTACGCTTTTAGTTTTTCATACCAGAGAAACTATTTGGTATTTACTCATGTGTTCTGTTTATTTCACTTATAAGTATAGCCTCAATGTGCATCCATTTATTTATAAATGTCTCTAGTTTCTCATTCTTTATGGCTGAGTAGTACTCCATTGTATAGAAAAACCACATCTTTATCCAGTCTCCAGCTGATGGGCAATTGGGTGGTTTTCAAGTTTTAGCTATTACAAACTATGCCACTATAAACATGGGTGAACATATATGGTATGATTCTTTTAATTCTTTTGTAAAGATACCAAGCAGTTGGATAACTGGGTCAAATGGGACCTCTAATCCTAGTTCTTTGAGGTATCTCCATGTTGATTTCCATAGTGGTTGCACCAGTCTGCACTCCTACCAACAATGAAGAAGGGTTCCTTTTTCCCCACAATGTCACCAGCATTTGTTATTGGTTGATTTCTTGATAGCAGCCATTCTTTGTGGGGTGAGGTGGAATCTCAGTGTTGTTTTCATCTGCATCTCTCGAATAACCAGTGATGTTGTACATTTTTTCATATATTTATTTGCTTCTTTTACTTATTTTAGAAATGTCTGTTCATTTCAGATGCCCATTTTCGAATTGGGTCTTTGCATTTGAGGGTTCTGATTTTTTTTTTTTTTGAGTTCTTTATATATTCTAGACAGTAGACCTTTGTCTGAGGAGTAGCTGGTAAGAATTTTTTCCCACATTGCAGGTTGTCTCTTAGCTCTGTTGGTGATTTCTCTTGCACTGCAAGATCTTTAATATGATGAGATCGCAGTTGTTGATTCTTTGTGCAAGTTCTTGTGCTGCTGAGGATTTGTTCATAAAGTCTTCTCCTATGCCAGTGTCTTGGAGAGTTCAACCTAATTTACTTTCCAGTAAGTTTAGTGTTTCTGTTTAGATAATTTAGATCTTTAATCCACTTGAATTTTAGTTTAATGCGTGTTGAAAGATAGGGATCTAGTTTTAATCTTTGTCAAGTTGAAATCCAGTTTTTCCAACACCATTTATTAAAGAGGCTGTCTTTCTTCCAGTGAGGATGGTTGGCTCCTTTGTCAAAGATGAAGTAGCTGAGTATGTCTGTTGTTGTTGATAGGAATATATTGTACCAAAGTTTCATTTATCTGTCTGCAAGTTGTAGCAGTGACTAGAGAGTGAGTGTTCTTCATGAGGATTTCTGCTGACAAATGGAGGTGACAAAAGTGAAGAATGGGCCAGAAGAGAAAAATATATGTTAGATAATGTATGTTTTCAGTAACCCTTAAAATAACCTACATGATGTACAAACTGAGCTAGAAGTAACTTAAAAAGTTATTAAAAAGTTGAAGTACCTAGAAAGCTTATATTATTTATATTCTTAAAAATTGCTAAATATTTAATTTTGTCTCAAAAATGTCAAGAATGTTCTTCAGCCCTGAGTTTGTTAAACACTCAGACTAGTTATGCTGTATTTTAAGGCAGAATGAACTCTTGTTTGTCTAGAACATTCCTATTTTCACTTTTTTTAAAGTAACTTTAGGGAACTATTTGGAGGTGGGGATATGAGATATAGTCAAGATTTTAAGACAGACCAATCATTGTGGTGTGTTTGTGGAGTTTTAATTTTTCAATGTGTAATTTTGTCAGCAGAATGTTTACTGTTAAATTTATAGTAATTTTTAAAAGGGTAAACAATTCTGAAGGACTTGGAAAATGCAGGATTAACCAAGATATACCATTTACTATTTGGATTTAAGCATATATTTGACACATCTGGAATGATACTGATTAAAAACCTGGGAAAGGGCTGGGGCTTTAGCTCAGTGGTGCCATATCTGCCTTTCTTTCAAGCAGAAGGTCCTGAGTTGGATCCCTCGTATTGGGGTGCCACGGGACAGGGGACCTGGGAAACAACTTACTACAGATATTGTTTTATTTTTACCTAATTAACTGGTTCTTTTGTTTTCACAAATGCATTTAATTCAGTATTTTGTTAATAACATTTATACGAAGTAATGCTTCTCAGCCTCCATCCTACCCTTACCCGCACATTAATAGATTTTATAGTTTATAAGGCTCCTCCACATACCTTACCTCACTCTAACTCATCAGTACTCAGGCTGGCATCGTATTTCCCAGATGAGGAAAAGGTCTATGAACTGTTTTCACAAATGCATTTAATTCAGTATTTTGTTAATAACATTTATACGAAGTAATGCTTCTCAGCCTCCATCCTACCCTTACCCGCACATTAATAGATTTTATAGTTTATAAGGCTCCTCCACATACCTTACCTCACTCTAACTCATCAGTACTCAGGCTGGCATCGTATTTCCCAGATGAGGAAAAGGTCTATGAACTCATATATTTATATTTATATTTTTTGAGCCAGGATCTTGCTATGTAGTTCATGCTGGCCTTGAACTCACTGTAGTCCAGGGTGGCCTCTGTTTCCTAATGATCCTCCTGCCTCAGCTGAGTGCTGGGATTACAGGTGTGTGCAACCACACCCAATTCCGTTACATGTTTGCAGTTTCTGGGAATCGTTGAAGAAGCATTTTTTCATACACCGTAATTATTTTCTGCATTTTAAGAGTAATGCATACTCACTATTGAAGATGTGAAGATTAATGTTTAAAAACCTCAACCATAATTTTATCACCCAAGTCAATGTTATTTTTGTTTTTTACTTCCTGTTTTTCCTATTTTTTGGTTGTATAACTTATTGGATGTGTGAGAGTACATTCTGATTTACTTCTCATTTAATGCAGATAGTAGTATTAAATTAATCGAGTTGTATAAACAGCGATTGGAATCTGCTGAGTGAGCTTTGCCTTTTCAAGGAAGTATAGGACAAATATACCAGAAAACTTCAATATTACTGCTTTGGGGACCTGTAAAAACTTTCTTTTTGTGGTACTGGGGCTTGAAGCCAGGGCCTGGTACCTGGTAGGCAAGAACTCTACCACTGAGTTGTATCTTCAGACCTTCTTCCTCCTTTCCCTTTCCCCTCCTTTTTCCTCTCTCCTTCCCCTCCCCCCTCTCTCCTCCCTCTCCCTTTTCCCCTTCCACCTTGTTCTCCCCTCTCCCTCTTCCTCCTCGTAATTTTGAGACAGTGTCTCAGTAAATTGCCTAGGCTGATCTTGGAAATTTTTGATGCAGGTGTGATTTATTAGTGAGCAGTTGGACCTTAACTCAGATTT